ATTCAGTGCTTTTAAAGTATATTCACAGGGTTGTGTAATCATCACTATAACAAAATTTTAGAACATCTTCATTTCCCAAAAAGAAACGTTATAACTGCTAGCATTCAAATCCCATTCTCTAGCCAATCTCCTCTCACCTCGAAGGCCTGGGCAACAACTAGTCTACTCTATGGATGTGCTGAATCTGGATATCTCAGATAAATGTTATACAGTAAGTAGTATCTTGTGACCTGCTTCTTTTACTTAGCATCGAGTTTTCAAGATTCATCCATGTGTCATAGCATGTATCAGTTTGTTCATTCCCTTTTTTAACATGTATCTTTTATTGAGAGTAAAACAGAATAATCATTTTAATCATTTTTAACTGTAAAATTCAGTGGCATTAAGTACATTCACAATGCTGTGCAAACATCACTGCCATCTATTTCCGGAACTTCTTCATTATCCCAAGCAGAAATCTTGCATACATGGAACAGTAACTTCCCATCTCCCTTTCCCCATCCCCTGGTAACTTTTATTCTACTTTTTGTCTCAATGGATTTGCCTGTCCTTGATACCTTATACAATTCTATTCATGCAAAATTTGTCCTTATGTGTCTGGCTTACCTGAATCACTAGAATGTTTTCAAGGTTCATCTATCTTGTGGCATATAGCAGAATAACAACTCCTTTCTTATGACCGGATAATATTCCACTGTATGGATACAGCACATTTTGCTTATCTATGCAGCTAATGGACATCCGGTTGTTTACACTTTTTGGCTATTAAGAGTACTGCCACTCTACTATGAATATTTATGTGCATATTTTTGAATGAAAGTATGTTTTCATTTCTCTTTGGTATACACCTCAGAGTACAACGGTTGGGCTGTACAACTCTGTTGAACTTCTTTTGTTTATTTTTTTTTCTTTTTAAAAAGATGGGGTTTCACTGTGTTGGCCAGGATGGTCTCCATCTCTTGACCTTGTGATCCACCCGCCTGAGCCTCCCAAAGTGCTGGGATTACAGGTGTGAGCCACCACACCCGGCCGTTGTTTATTTTGTTTTTTAAGGGTAGTCAAGCGAAGCAGCGGGAGTGGAGAAAACAACTACATCTATAACTGGTTGTGATCAATTAGTTGTAAACACCACTGCACTTGGACAAGCCTATGCTGAACTTTTTGAGGCACTACCAAACTGTTTCCACAGAAGGTGCACCACCAACAATATCATTCCAGTTTTTCCAGATCCTTACCCACACTTGTTGTATCTGTCTTTTTTATTTTAGTCAACATACTGGGTATGTTGTGGCTTCTCACTATGGGGAAGCTATTAGTCCTAATTAAAGTCCTTATGTGTTAATTCCAACATCAGGATCACCTGAGAATCTGCTTCTAAAATGATTTTTTTAATTAAATCAATTTCTCTGTCTTCATAGGACTAACAATGTACTGAATACTGGACACTGTATATAAAAGAACCACACAGACATAAGATGATGTTATCCTGCATTAAGAATGGGTTCACCCTTTGTTCTGTTATGAAAGGAAATCAGTCCATCTCTCCAGGGTTAGCTAATAGAAGGAATGTCCCTCCTGGACTTTCAATTCAGTGTCCAATGGGTTTTGTTACTCCAGTCCTGACCACCAAAACATCTACTGCCCCCAGCAGTACTGCTTAGCCTGGGCCAAACCTACATTCTCAGCTGCTGCTTCTCCTTAGGAAACAGTTACAAATCCTCAAGTAATCTCTGAAAGGTTTATCTGGCATTTCTGTATATTTCAATTCTTCGTCATATCTTTTTCTGCAGCTCTTACATAACATGAAATTACTATTTTCTACATTTACCTGATTTTCTAGTTGTTCTCAGGAGAAGCATTGGTCCACCACAAACTACTCCACTCCTTCTCATAAGCAAGTCTCCTAAATAACTTAGATGCTACTACCAGTTTATTCTTCTAAAACAGGGCTGTTCAATCTTTTGGCTTTCCTGGGCCACAATGAAGGATTATCTTGGGCCACACATAAAATACACTAACACTAATGACAGATGATGAGTTAAAGAAAAAAAACAATTGCCAACAAGACTCAATGTTTTACAGGAGTTTACAAATGTGTGTTGGGCCACATTCAAAGCGACCCTGGGTCTCACGTGGCCTGCGGGTTGGACAAGCCTGTTCTAGAACATTACCGCCTCCACATTTCCAATAGCCACACCACCTATTCTACTGCCTGGATCAGCTAATGATACGTATTCTACTGCACAGAAATTTTCTACTTCATGAGACAGGGTCTCACTCTGCTGCCCAGGCTGGAGTGCAGTGGTGCCATCATAGCTCCCGGCAGCCGTCACCTTCTGGGTTCAAACAATTCTCCTGAATAGCTAGGACTACAGGCGTGTGCCATCACGCTCATGTGATTTTTTAAACCTTTTGTAGAGATGGGTCTCACTATGTTGCCCTGACTGGTCCTAACTCCTGGCCTCAAACAATCCTCCCACCTTGGCTTACCAAAGTGCTGAGATTACAGGCATTAGCCATGGCACCCAGGCTAGAAATGTTCTACTTTAATGTGGAGCTAAAGGTAGGACCTTAGAATCAGAAAACAAAGAGAAACCCAGCAGTCCTCACTTCTGGGAATCTATCCTGTAGATAAAGATTCACAAATACTAAATGTGCAATATTATCATCTGTAGCACTAATAGTAATAGCAACATATCAGAACTACTTAATGCAGCAATAAAGAACCAGTTAAATAAGGTATAGTACATCTACCAGATAGAATGCCATGCTGCTATTCAGCATAATGAGGTTATGAAAAACCAATATAAAACAATATAATGGCAAAAAACTGAGACCAAATGCCCTTAAATCAGGAATAAGACAAGGGTGCCTGAATTTACCCCTGCCATTGTTACTGTAGTAGACGTTCCAGTCAGAGCAATTAGGCAGAGCAAAGAAAGAAAATAGATCCAAATTGGAAAGGAAGAAGTTAAAGAATTTCTATTTGCAGATGTCATGACCTTATATACAGAAAAGATGAAAGAATCTACAAAAAAGCTTTCTGAGCTAATATATCAATTTAGGAAAGCAGCAAAGTACCAAATCAACACATAAAAATTATTTGTGGTTGGGCACAGTAGCTCATGCCTGTAATTCTAGCACTTTGAGAGGCAGAGGCAGGAGGCTCACTTGAGCCCAGGGATTCAAGACCAGGCTGGGCAACATAGCAAGACCCTGTCTCAAAAAAAATTAGCCAGACATGGTGGTATGGGCCTGTAGTCCCAGCTACTCAGGAGGTGGAGGCAGGAGGACTGCTTGAGCCCAGGAGGTGAAGGCTGCAGTGAGCTGTGATCATGCCATTGCACTCCAGCCTAGGTGACAGAGAGGAACCCTGTATGAAAAAAAAAAAAAAAAATCAGAAAAAAAAATATTTGTGTTTTTATACGCCAGCAATGAACAATCTAGAAGGAAATTAAGAAAACAATTCCAGGCTGGGCACTGTGGCTCCTGCCTGTAATCCTAGCACTTTGAGAGGCTAAGGCGGGAGGACCACTTGAGTCCAGGAGTTGAAGACCAGCCTGGGCAACATAGTGACAGACTGTCTCTACAAAAAATAATTAGCCAGGTGTGGCGGCCTGAACCTAATTAGCTACTCAGGAGGCTGAGGTGGGAGAATCACTTGAGCCCCGGAGGGCAAGACTGCAGTGAGCTGTGACTGCACCACTGCACTCCAGCCTCAGTGGCACAGTAGACCTTATCTTCAAAAAAGAAGAAAGAAGAAAGAGAGGAGAGGAAAGGAGAGGAGGAAAAGAAAGCAATTCCACTTACAATAGCATCCAAAGAAAATGCCAAAGTATAAATTTAACCAAGAAAGTGGAAGACTTGTACACTGAAAGCTGCAAAACATTGCTGAAAGAAATCTAAAAAACAAATGAAAAGAAATTCCATTTTCATAATTGGGAGACATAACATTAATAAGTTCAATGCATTTCCTATCAAAAGTTCAAAGGTCTTTTTCACAGAAATGGAAAAGCTGATTCTCAAATTCATATGGAATTAGAAGGGAACTCAAATAGCCAAATGACCTTGAAAAAGAACAAAGTTGAAACATGCACACGTCTTGCTTTTAAAGCTTATCACAAGGCTGCAGTAAATCACAACAATGTGGTTACCAGCATACGGACAAATATATAGACCAATGGAATTCACCTAAGCATTCAAAAATAAACACATACATCCATGACCAACTGATTTTTGATAATGGAGCAAAGACTGTTCAATGAGTGCTGGAACAACTGGATATCCACATGCAAAAATATGAAATTGGCCCTCTCACACCATATACAAAAACTAACTCAAAAATCAATGACTTAAATATAAAAGCCAAAACTATAAAAGTTTTTTTTGTTGTTGAGACGAAGTCTCACTATGTCGCCCAGGCTGGAGTGCAATGGCACGATCTTGGCTCACTGCAACCTTCACCTCCCGGGTTCCAATGATTCTCCTGTCTCAGCCTCCCAAGTAGCTGGGATTACAGGCATGCACCACCACGCCTGGCTATTTCTTTTCACTTTTAGTAGAGACAGGATTTCACCATGTTGGCCAGGCTGGTCTTGAACTCCTGACCTCAAGTGATCCACGTGCTTTCGTCTCCCAAAGTGCTGGGATTACAGGTGTGAGCCACCGCGTCCGGCCCTATAAAACTCTTAAAAGAAAACATAACAATAAATCTTTCTGATTTAAATATGAAACCAAAAGCAAAATCAACAAAAGAAAAATATAGGTAAATTGAACTTTATCAAAATTAAAAGTTTTTGTGCATCAAAGGATAGATCAAGAAAATGAAAAGATAACTTACAGAATGGGAGAAAATACTGGCAAATCATACATCTGATAGGGATCTAGTACAAGAATATATAAAGAACTCTTACAGCTCAACAACAAAGACAAAGAATCCACTTAATTATGGGCAAAAGAGCTGGGCATGGTAGCTCATGTCTGTAATCTCAACACTGTGAGAGGCTGAGGCAGGAGGATCTTTTGAGGCCAGCAGTTTGAGACCAGCCTCAGCAGCATCGCAAGACCTTATCTCTAAAAAAAATTAGTCAGTCCCAGCTACTCAGGAGGCTGAACCAGGATGACTGCTTAAGCCCAAGAGGTGGAGGCTGCAGTGAGCTACGATCACCCTTCATAAAGGAAAATAAAAGAATGGCAAAAAAAAAAAAAAGATGAAACATTGCTCAACATCAAGAGTCATGAGGCAGATGGAAAATTAAAACATTAAGATACTACTACATACATCCCAAATGACTAAAATTAAAAGAACACTAAACACTGGTGAGAGTGACGATCAACTGGTACTCTCATACTCTGTTGGTGTAAGTCTAAAACAGAGTAACCACTTTGGAAAGCAAACTACTGTTACATGCCAAAACATAAAAGAATTTCAAAAACACAATGCTGAATGAAAGAAGCTTTACACAAAAAGTACATAGTGTGTGCTTCCATTTATACAAAGTCCTAGATTAGGCAAAACTAATCCATATTGGGGGAAATAATCAGGACAGCAGATATCTCTGGAAGGAGGTGGGTGGGATTGATTGTGAATAGACATGAGGTAATTCTCTAGAATGTTAAAAACAGCATACATGTTAATGGGGTATAAGCATTTGTCAAATCTGACTCAAATGTACACTTAAGATTTATGCATGGGACTATATGTAAAATTTACCTAAAAACATAAACATCAAATTCAATGAATGCATGCTGAAGTGTTTAGGGACTAAAGGTTACTGATGTCTGCAATCTCTTTAGAAATGCACTTAAAAAGTTGACTGATGGACCTAAATAGTTACATATTTGATAAAGCAACTATAGTAACTCTGTTGTAAATTTGAACATTTTCATAAAAAAAAAATATGCTCGGGGTGGTGCAGTGGCTCATACCTGTAATCCCAGCACTTTGGGAGGCCAAGGCAGGCGGATCACTTGAGGTCAAGAGTTGGAGACCAGCCTGGCCAAAACCCCGTCTCCACTAAAAATACAAAAAAATTAGCTGGGCACGGTGGCATGTGCCTGTAACACCAGCTACTCGGGAGGCTGAGGCAGGAGAATTGCTTGAACCTGGGAGGTGGAGGTCGCAGTGAGCTGAGATCGCACCACTGCACTCCAGCCTGGGTGACAGAGTAAAACCCTGTCATAAATAAATAAATAAATAAGCAAGCAAGCAAACTTGGGTGAAAGAGAATGAAGAAGGTCCCTATCTAGTCATGCGAAGAGATGGCCAAGATGCAGTGCTATATGTTTCACATATTTCACAGTTTATAAAAGAGAACATAATACATGTATAAAAGAGAACATAATATATGCCTTTCTAAAACATGTCAGTATAATATGGTATGACTCAGAATGTCTTCCACCATCATACTACTCAAGCAACGTACACTGCTCAAAAAAGACAAAATGAAAACACTAAATGAAAAATACTTGATTGCTTTTCCTTAAGAAATGCTATTTTTCAGTATTTTTCAAGTATTTTAATATTATATATAAAATTTCTTTAAAATGGTAATTCTTAGCTACAAGTACATCGGAAGATTTTTTTCAATTAACCTTTATTGCTATTTAGTACTACTCTCAAAGTGCTATAACTAGCTCAGATTTATTTCACAAATTTCAGTTGTCAGATTTTCCATAAGCTACGCATATTCTTTGTACCAATTATAGAACAATTTTTTAAAAACAGTAATAGCAAAATTTACATTAAAACGGAGTTCTTTTTATATCATTATGGTAAACTGAGTCATTTTCTATGCTTCTTTAAGTAATAGAATACTATTAGTCACTAATGAGGGAAAAACAATCAAGCAAAGGTCCTAAAAGATTAGGAATAAAATATTTTTTTCTACTTGAAAAAATAATCAATTTTTAAATTGTAAAATAATAAAAAATTATAAATGGACTTTAATAGCCAAAAGCAGCAAAAGTCACAAAACTAACAACAAAAACAAACCTAACAAGGTACCTTGTATACCTAGTTAACCCATATTACACACAAAAAAATTTAAGTATTTTAAAGTATGGTTTTTAAAAACTTACCCCTTCTGCTTCAAAGGTAATTCAAGTTTAAATATGGTAGCATCATTAACAACTGCTTTATATGCCTGCAAAAAATAATTTGTAATAAAATCGTTATTTTTAATATTTAAAACATACAAAGTTTTATACACCCTAAAACACATAAAAATATGCCAGTTTTTATTTCTAATAGTATATCTAGCTAGACAGAATTTGCCTAGTCAAAGACTTGAGCATGTTCTTTGTTATATTATAATTATCAATATTCTCAAGTGAGGTTTTCTTTTTTTTGAGATAAAGTCTCACTCTGTCACGCAGGCTGGAGTGCAGTGGCATGATTTTGGCTCATTGCAACCTCCGCCTCCCAGATTCAAGCGATTCTCCTGCCTCAGTCTCTCAAGTAGCTGGGATTACAGGTGCCTGCCACCACGCCTGGCTAACTTTTGTATTTTTAGTAGAAAGAAGGTTTCACCATGTCGGCCAGGCTGCTCTCAAACTCCTGACCTCAGGTGATCTGCCTGCCTTGACCTCCCAGAGTGCTGCGATTACAAGCATGAGCCCACGTGCCTGGCCTCAAGTGAGCTCTTTTTTTGTTGTTTTCTTTTTTTTTTTTTTTTGAGACAGGGTCTCGCTCTGTCACACAGGCTGGCTCAGCTCACTGCAACTCTGGCCTCCTGGGTGCAAGCGATTCTCCTGCCTCAGCCTCCTGAGTAGCTGAAACTATAGGTACGCACCACTATGCCTGGCTAATTTTTGCATTTTTAGTAGAGACAGGGTTTCATCATGTTGGCTAGGCTGGTCTCGAACCCCAACCTTAAGTGATCCACCCACCTCAGCCTCCCAAAGTGCTGCATTACAGGTGTCAGCCACTGCACCCAGCCTACACAACTGTTCTTGCTAAAGTCACTGGTAACTTCCATGTTGCTGAAGATAATGGTTAATCTCCATCTTATTTGATTTATCATCAGCATTTTAAACAGCAGATCATACCCTCCTCCTGAAAGCACTTTTCTCACTTGTCGCTTAGCACATAACATTCTCCTGGTCATTCTTTCCTTCTCATGAACGATGACTCTTCATTTTTCTAACAATAAAATATCACAATGCCCTAGGCCAATCCTTGGATCTGTCCTCTTTTCTGTCCTCACTCATTACCATATGGATGTTTAACAGATATTTCAAAGTTAACTTATTTAAAACTGAGTTTCTGATCACTCTGCAACCATCCCTCCAAAACCAGTTTCTCTTAGTCTTCCCTATCGCAGCGAACACATCCTTCTAACTGATCAGAACACAAATCTGAGTGTCATCCCTGACTAGTCTCTATCACATTCTACATCTGATTCAACAGCAAATCCTGAATAGTCTATATTCATAATATAATCATAATCTCAGCAATCCCTCTCCTAGGCACATACCCAAAGGAAATTAAATTACCACTTCATAAAGATAACTGCAGTCCCACATTCACTGCAGCATTATTCTCAGTAGCCAAAATATGGACACAACTTCAAAGTCCATCAATGGATAAAGAAACTGGTACATATAAACTATGGAAGACTGGAAGACCTTATGCTAAGTGAAATAAGCCACAGAAAGAAAAATATTGCATGATCTCACTTATATGTGGAATCTTAAAAAAAATTCAAATATACAGAGAGAAGGACAAAAGAGTAGTAACCAGTGGCGAAATAGGCAGAAAAGAAAAGGGGAGATGTAGGTCAAATGATACAAAGTAGCAGATACTCAGGATGAAAGTCTAGAGAGCTAATGTACAGCATGAAAACTACAGGTAGTTAAATTATACTGGGCTGAGCGAGGGGGCTTATGCCTGTAATCCCAGCACTTTGGGAGGTTGTGGTGGATGGATCGCTTAAGCCCAGGAGTTCAAGACCAGCCTGGGCAACATGCTAAGAGCTCATCTCTACCAAAAAAATCACAAATTAGCCAAAAGTGGTGCGTGCCTGTAGTCCTGGCTACTACTCAGGAGGCTGAGGTGGGAGCATTACCTGAGCCCAGGCAGGTTGAAGCTCCAATGAACCAGTTTGTGCCACTGCACTCACTCTGGCCTGGGTGACAGAGCAAGACCCTGTCTCTAAATAAATAAATAAAACGAAATTATATTCTATATTGGAATCATGGTAAATAAGTAGACTTTGGGTGCTCTTGCTACAACAACAAAACAAAACAAAACAAAACAAAAAACAAGAAAATAGGTAACTATGTGAGAAGATGGATATGTTTATTTCCTTTACCAGTGAGATGACAGAACTGAGAAAGCATCAGGGCAGGTGAAGAGTTCGCAAGGAACATGATTTAAAGGGAGAGCCACCACCAGGGTGATGGCTCATGTCAAATAAGTTCTTAAATGGTATTCCTCCTTCTTTCTTCCCTTCAGTCTATTTTTTTGCAACAGCCAGAGCGATCCTGTTAATACATAAATCACATCCTACCATTCTGTTTAAAAATTTTAAATGCCTTTCCATCCTATTCACAGTAAAAACTAACTCCTTACCACGGCTCAGAGTGTTACATGATCTGGCTTCCCATGAAGCCTTTGCAGGCTATTCAACTTAAGACTTCACACCACTCTATCATGTCTATACTCCCTTAACTCCTTTGCTACTTTATCTACTTATTTATTTGTTCTAAAATAGACAAAAAGGGGCCAGGTGTGGTAGCTCACACCTGTAATCCCAACACTTTGGGAGCCCAAGTCAGGAGTTTAAGACCATTGTGGCCAACACAGTGAAACCCCAACTCTACTAAAAATACAAATTAGCTGGGCGTGGTGGTGGACGCCTGTAATCTTAGCTACGTGGGAGGCTGAGGCAGGAGAACTGCTTGAACCCAAGAAGGGGAGGTTGCAGTGAGCTGAGATTGCACCACTGCACTCCAGCCTAGGCAACAAGAGCAAAACCTCATCTCAAAAAAACAGAAGAAAAGAAATTAAAATAGAAAAAAAGAGTGAGAAA